GATTTTATAATTTTTAGGTCACATATAACAAAATGATTGGTTACAGATTAACCAACACCTCGCTTTCACCTCCGATCCTCATCCACCACCTTGATCGCTCACCACCGCACCCAAACCAACCACTGCGCCCAAGCCAATCACCACTTCCATCAACAAAAATCACCGCCACTACCACCGCCAACAAACCCCGTCAGATCCACCACAACCACAACCACACCACAGCCACTGCCACCACCAGGCCACTTTTGACCCCCTCACCCCGACACCACCACCGCCACACAATAGCCATTTGCGACCATTACCTTACCACAACCAACAGTATCAAATCTACCACCTCACCACCGCCAAAATCCACCACTAACATCTCTAGATCCACATACACCATTGACAACAAAAAAATCTCAAAAACCATCTCCACCATCATCCCTCAAAACCGCAGATCCACAACAAAAAAAACCAGTGAAAGTGACTCGATTAGAATTACTGGGAAGATAGGATTTTCAGAGACTGTAGATCTGAAACTCAACCTTCAGCCCAAGCAATTTGAACTCCTTCTGACCGGCGATATGGATTGAGGGTGGTGATGGGTTTGGGCGATGATAGCAGGCGGCGGCGACGGGAGGGAGGCAATGGGTTGGTTTAGAGAGAGAGAACGTAGAGAGTGAAGGTGAGGGAAGAGGGGAGAGAGAGAGAGAGAGAGAGAGAGAGAGAGAGAGAGAGAGAGAGAGATGAGAGCGATAAATTAGGGTTATGATTTTAATATATTACCTGATTTTTGAATAAATAAACTTTGGACCTGATTTTTAAAAAGTCATCTTAAACCCCTGATTTTTTATAATTTCCCAAAAATTAAATTGCTGGGCTTATGATATCTAAATAAAGTGTGAGTCAGATTATGTGTAGAGACCGAATCCATTATGGTTGTATTTGACGATAAGCCAAATATATATGGAAACTATAAATATGACCAATTGGAAATAGGCTAGTTTAGATCACATTACATATAATTTCCATACTACATATCGACACCTGATCTATATCATTTGATTGTATTGATATACGTGACCATTGATGGATTTAACTATGATACTTATAACGAAAACTGCTTTGATCTTATATTGATATAAACAATGAACAAGATTGTTCGAAAATGTTTTTAGTTAAAGTTTTGACGTCATAAGGTTATACACATTTATTGGGTAACATATGTGGTCCAAGTGGGAGATTGTTAGGTTTATTAATTTGTCATATTGGCCTACATATGTAATTAATTGTGTATAATGTTATCTTAAAGTTGAGCCCAATTAAAGTGATCTAATAAAAAATTAAATTGTTAGGCTTATGATATCTAAATAAAGTGTGGATCAAATTATGTGTAGAGACCGAATCCATTATGGTTGTATTTGACGATGAGCCAAATATATATGGAAACTATAAATAGGGTTATAATCCTAACTTTATATGCAACTTCTCATTCTTTATGTCATCCCATCAATATAAGAATACAAGAGAAAACATATTGAAAAAGAAGATTCAAAACCTACAATCAAGAATAAGGATTGAAAAAAAAAAAGAATCAAGAAAAATGATTGTAGCAATTAAATCGAAGAACAAAACAATCAAAATTATGGAGCAAGAAGCCAAAATCAAGATAAAAAAACTCAAGAACCAAAATAACCAACAATTACGATTCAAGATCCAAAGAATTAAGGTATGTTCCGCATTATTACTTTTTTGATGATTTGACATGAATGATCTGACAATAAAATAATTAGATTTTAAAGCTTTAAAATTTAAAGTTTCATAAAATTTAACAAATGCCACATAATATTATAAAATAAATGGACAACATCCAAATATCTAGATGAAACCAAATGTCAAATCATACAAACTAACGAAATCAAAACCATGCAAATGGTTCAATCATATTTATTTAAACAACAAGAACAACTATGACCATATCCAAACATGAACATCTAATCTTTTGTTTTTGTTTTTTCAGACCATCAAACCAAAAATTTAAACCAGTAGAAAATGAAGCCAATTAAAATCAATTTATTGATTTCGTCATTCAATTGTTGATATTAGAGTCTATTATAATAATGATCACCATAAAAGTATTAATCACTAATCAAATTTCATACGACTCATACCACTTCATGAGATTAGACATTGTGATATTCTTCTGGAATTCTTATATATCGAACAAGCATAATCTTAATATTTTGGACATTGTGATATTCTTTTAGAATTCTTATATTTTAAAATATTAAAATTGTGCTTAATCGAGAGAAATAAAATATTCTTCAAAAATATTAATAGGGATAAATTTCCGCTTTTGCATATATTCTCCAAAAATACTAATATGCATTATTTCAAGAAGTTCACGTAAAACATGAATCAAATCTTCTTATATCTCTCAAGAATTATCATATTTGAAGATTGAGATAGTGAGGTTGTGCTTCTTCAAAAGTATCAACGTTATTCATTGATAAACTTGTACTTCTTCGAGAGTAAAAATCATTAAAATTGTGATTTTTCGTGATTGATATAATATTCTTTTAAAATATTAATATACTTTCTGTTTCTTCGGGAACAACAATATATATTCTTTTAGAATATTAAGATTTGTGATGTTAACATGATCTTCCTTAGAATCAACACAATATTCTTTTTGAATATTGATAAATATAAACAAATTGTTTCTTTGGCATTAGCAAAGTGTGAATATATTTGTTTTTGTTTTATGTTTCTCTGGAACATCAATACCTTATTCATCTAAAATATTGACACAATATTTAGCTCCTCTTCGATTCTCTTTATTTCTTGTATTTATATTTGACCACACATTCTCATAACAAAATATTTTGCATGTAAATCTAAAACTTTTCTCTACTTTCTAACTACATATTCTCTAAAAAATTAATATTCAAAAATCATTTTCCCCAAATTTCTCTTTATATAACCATCAAACAAGGGCGTAGTTATGCTTCTTCATGATTATAAATATTATTAAAACTATGTTTGAGATCCATTTTTTAATTTTTTTGTTGAAAATGAGTTGTAATATTTATTTTTGGAGAATTTGTAGTTAAAATGAGAGAAAAATTTGTATTTATGTGAAAAATTTCTTATTAGGAGAATATGTTGTTTAAAATGAGTTTGAAGAAAAATGATGTTTTTGTTAATGTGGGTTAGACAGGAATTAAGTATTATCATAAGTCACAATATACATACAAGACATGATTTGATATATAGTATGATTAAAAAAATTAATGGATGAACTTGGTTATAGTATAAAGAGTGCAAACAAATTGAAATAGTTTTCATATTTTATAGATATATAAATGGAACTTCGGATGGTCTATAAATTTTGTAGCTCAATTTTTGTAAGATTCAATTCGTGTTTCTTACCTACCTCAACTGGTTAGAGATTTGTACTCAGAGAGAGGAAAATGTTTTACTAACTCAATTGGCCAAAATTTCGTGCAGATAACGAGTTATAAACTAGAGAGAAAAGAAAAGAAAATAGAAAGAATCAACAAACTTGTATTTGTATTTTATTCAGAATCAAAATTCCAATTTATAGGTTGCAATTAAGGCTGTAGGAGTATAATGATTATTCGCAAACAACAATTTATTTATAACATGCCTATCCTTCCATTTTTTAACATGTTCAATTAAAATTATTTTTCATTTATGAATAATGAACTTTTCATAACATGTTTTAGTTCTACTATGTCAATACGGGATAATTATGATCGTTGATTAGATATTGTCGTTAATTCTTAACATAAAACGTAACGTGCTTATCTGCAAATGAAAAGTTTCAAGTGTTACACATTTTCATTTATTTAGAAAAAAATGGTATATAAGTATTAATCATAACAATAATGGAGCATTATTAATTTTGTATATAAGAATCATGATGAAGGTGTTGATTATTCGTTTAAGTGGATAATTATTGTGAGAGATTATGGGAATATTGACATTATCGCTCCATTAGTACTTTGAGGGTGTAAAATATTACAAGTAATTAGGGCATGTTTATGTAGATTTTGTGTGAAGTGATTTTTTTGGAGAATGTAAGTTAAAAAGTAAGAAAATGTTATAAATTCACATGCAAAATTATTTTGTTGAATTGAAATTGAGTTTTAAAGAATCTATACATGGGCTTATATGTCTACGGCACCATTTCTATATGAATTCTTTCATGATTCCTACTATATTCTTCTATATACATAATATGATATCGTACTTTTCATATGAGAATATAAATGACCAAAAGGGTCTTTTTATGATAAACTCAAAGTATAGTGCAGAATTCTACAATTTTTCAGTTGAATTGATGTATTCTAGAGAACAATTCACATGTTTAATGATGCACGAGGAGACTAATTAGCGTCTCATGCTTAGCGTCAATGTAGGTGACAATGGACCCCACTGAAGGACTCCACTGATTCATTATTCAATAACATGGTAAGGTCCCTGTCACCCAAACTCTCGTGATGCTACGTATCATTATTCTTAGCATCTTCTTGTTCATGGTTTTCATCCCTTTAATACGAGGAAGAACCTGTTGATTCTCGAGGTGAATAATTTACTTCACAGATAACCTTCATTAGAAAATAAACGAAAAAATGCCTGTTTGAAGCTGATATTTTCTTTCACCAAATACAGAGATTTTAACTTGAGTATACTGCTCATAATTAACAATAAGCCACATCAAAGAAAACTAGGATTAAAATCATGCAGTCATACTAGAAAAGACACTGACAAATATCTTTATATTTTTTGAAGAATGCCGTCATTCCAAACAAGATTGTTCTATTCTATTCCCATGATACTACTAAAAAAACATAGTACTTTTGGTTCCATTACATTCCAAGAAGAAAAATAATGGTGTAGGAAAGTGATAGTATAAATTACACTTAACATTAAGGCCTACACAAGAAGAAACCTACGATACATTTTAGTATCATACACAATCTTGCATGTTCTCATGTCCTTGAAGACGGGGATCTACGCGCAATGCACTTTGGTATGCATCCCGAAGGAGTGCATCCCTCTGGGGGCTCGTAAGACGAAAAGAAATCAGGATTGCGCTCGAGAGACTCTGTGTACTTTTCAAGAATAGTAACAATCTCCTCAAAGTGCGGCCGCTTGTTGGGATTACTGGACCAGCACTGGTTTATGAGCTGGCAAAGTGCCATTGGACATGAAGAAGGCAATGGTGGCCTTGCATTCTGCAAATAAAAAAAGAGGTTTTAAGAGAAGTCAAAAAAATCAATGAGAACGTAATTTTACGTAAATGTGTCAAGCGTGAAGAATGAGAATTCAAAAACTCAAGGCTTGCATGAAGGCAAACAGAAGCTACCATAGACATCTTAACCAAGCACACGGGACTTCAACTTATTAAGCGTGATTGCTGAAAGTCACGATTTTTAAAGACGCATAACCAATTATAGATGATTAAATTCCATTATACAAATGATAAATACGACATTATTCTCTTTCCAGCGGTTTTTCATCACTTAGATCACCCAATTCAAGTTCATATTGAAGATGAGCAAATGCCACACAAGAATCTCACAAGACATAAAACCAAATTGCTCGTCTTTATCTCAAATTTCCAATTTGCCAAACACTCTTGGCAAAAGAATATACAAAAATGAAAAGCCTAAACTTGGGAGATGGTTAATAGTTCAGAAAAAAGGCAACTGAATAATCATGCAAAATAATGTGAATGCATACAAACCAACAATCTATATAATCAGTAAGAATCTATATAATCAGTAAGATGACTCCAACGTACAAGCAGCACAAAGACGCATTGCATCAGAGTTAGCATTGTGAAGTTACCTTTTGACAGACAGCGAATGCCGCTTGTTCTGGAGTCATGTCATCAAACGGTATCAATGCCGTTAAAAGTTCCCACACGACAATGCCAAAACTGTAAACATCAACTTTCTTTGTGTGCTGTTTTTCCTTTATCATTTCTGGTGCCATCCAACGGTAAGTTCCCGTGAAGCCCTTGGTACTGCCACATTGTGATTCTAAGCACGATATGCCAAAATCTGCAACCTTCACACACATATCTTCATCGAGCAGCAGATTTTCTGATTTGAGATCCCTGTGAAGAATTCCCTGAGCATGAAGATATTCCATACCACGTGCAATGTCAAGTGCCAATTTTAGGATTAGGTTGAGGGGAAGTGAATATGGCTCTTGTTGATGGAGGTACTTTCTCAGTGATCCACCAGGATAGTACTCGGTGATAATACAAAACACTGGCGGTTTCTTACATGCTGCTATAAACTGCATTATGAGGTCAAATATTTATACCGAGGTCATAGAACCGAAAACGACATGTAATTCTCAGACTTATTACCAATCAATCATTCTTAAAAAATGAACCTCAAACTGTAAATGAAAGCTTAACAATTTTCACCACTTCAATGAATAGGATATTTTTACCGAATGACAAAAGAATATTAAGACTATATCCAAAGTTGTCGATAAGGATCAACTAACATTATGAATACTACTTTGCAGCTGACACGAGGGGACGCGTATACAAACGTGTGGACCTACAATATCAATTGCAGCATATTTCCTCTGAAAGCATGTGTAGTTGTCAAGTTATGGCCAATCCTTTTACTCACTTCTACACGAAAGGAGAAACCACTACTCAAATAAGCCTACAAGCTATATTTTGCTCAAACAATCTTACCATCCAGCCTAATCAGAAAACTCAGATAATGCCAGTGCAATTCTGATCTTGCTATAAAAAGCTACATCATTCACAAATCAACGACATACAACACAAAAATTGAACAACCTCGTCTAAAACCAGACTTATTCATTAATTTACATCTTCAACACATTCCATCGCGATTCATTTTCTCACCAAAGACCTTATATGTGCAAAATTTTCATTTTTTCCATAAGAGGCCTAACAAATAGACATTTCCTTAATCAATGGTAACATGAAAATCGAAAATAAAGTCTTCGTATACTTCTTACCATATTGAACTATGGTGCATCTAAAAGGTTAAGTAGTTAGATATACATCAAACTCATATACCAACCATAAAAGGAAAAAAAAAAAAAAAGAAATATATTCCTACTTACAGTGATGATATTGGGATGCCTTAACCTGAACAAGAGAGCAACTTCTGATGTAAATTGCTTCTCCAACAATGCAGCCAACTCTCCATCCTCTTCAGGCTGGCTAATAAGCTTAATTGCTGCGTCTCTCTGCTTATATACCCCTCTATAGATTCTGCTGTGCCTCCCAGAAGCAAATTTGTTGCCTACGTAAAGCTGTGACATATCAGCACTCCATTCTTCTTCTCTTCCACCTTTAATTTCAGCACCAGATGACACCAAGTATTTTGACCATGAAACTGCTCTTTTGTACTCTCCCAATGACAGCCTCCTCTCCAGCTTGCTCTGGGTGCTTGCGATTTGCTTAAACCAGTAAAAATTCTTCATGGTTTTTGCATAAAATGATTCAATTCCTCAATTTTAAGAGAAAAAAGACTCAAACGTTTTGTGGGCACAAGGGTTTGTAACTTGAAAATCGATCCTAATTAACTTTGAGAGGTTGAAGATTTGGGTTTTCAGTAACATTTTTGAAGTTTTTCTTTTTCTGGGTTTTCATTATAGAGACAAAAACGTTCATAAACAACTCAGATTTGAAACGGGATTTTAGTCGCTGTTTATTCAAGAAAAGTAGCTTCGACTGTACATACAACAATTGTATATACACGTGTCGATGTGTAGAAACAAAATACTTACAAGATTTTTCTTAAAGCTTCAATCTTTGTACCAAGAATGGAGTTTCAAGAAAGAGGGTTGGATGGATTCAACTAAAAACGCTAATAAGCAGATTAATAAAAGAAGAAAAGGAGAAAAAAATAAAAGAAGAAAAGGAATTCATAAAGAATGTGTGTCGTAGTTGTATGTGAAGCTCAGATGGAGATTGAGTTCTCTCTGTAGGGAGGTTTCGCCTGGGGAGGACATAGAGGCAGGCGGTATAGGGATGGGGTAGAGTAGAGTGGGGGTGGGGCTGTTGGCTATCTATTTCTGTCACACTGATGACTGATGAAGAGTTATGAAGAATTATGAATGTGAGAGATGTATAGATATAGAGAGAGAAAGAGAGAGGATAACATATAGATACATCATACATAGAGTTTAGAGAATTATTATATAGATATAGTGCGGAAGGGAGAAGAGAGATATAAAGTTAGCCCGTGTGTTTGATGTACATTCTTCTAGGAGAGAATGTATTTTTTTTATGATGTAATAATGAATATGTGGTTAAAAAAAAATGAAAAATTATTGATGTGATGAAAGATATTATTTTATGAAAAAACATATGATTAAAAATAAATAGAATAATAAAAATGAAAATAAGAACGAGGCTCGATCAACGGTTAACACATACAACGTGCGAAGATCCACTTCAGAGGAGACATACGGGAGTCTAATGATGGAGACCTCTGCCCATCCACTCACATGACCCCTAGATTTCTTTAGAATTACTTGGATACCATAGCCAATTTCTTGAATTTTTAACCCCCGTTTGACCACCATTATTCTCTTTTAAATTATATTTCATGTTTTTATCTCTCTTCTCATCAATCACATATTCTCTAATAAAATAATATTACATGTAAATTAAAAAAAAATTCCTTACTTTTTAACCATACACTCTCTAAAAATTTACTATTCCTCTTATTATAATGTGGAATAATATGGATCAATCTGGCGCTTGCTGATTTGTCATTTCAAATATGGATTAATCTACTTGTACTTCTATTCTCTACACCTTGGATTACACTCCCTTGTGTGTCAAAAATCTAATTATGCATTGAAAAAAGTGTTGTTAATTAATATACCAAAATTTGCCAATTCACTGAAGTGTAAACCAATGTATTAACATTTATGTATATGTAGCATAATCTTCCAAATATACTCCGATAGGATCTCGAGATATTTCATCCTCCTCGTTCTCGTCCTTGACCTTCTTGTGAAATTGACCAAGTGCTAAAAAATTGGAAAGAGACGGAGCCTCGTGGGAATTCAGCTCTTTTTCACCATCACTAAAACAATTTTTTTTAAAGGAGAAATGAGTTTAAAAATAGTAATCTTTTAGAGAATTTTGATTAAAAAGTAGAAAAATGTTTTGGATTTATTTGAAAAATATTTTATTACGAGAACGTGTGGTAAAAAATAAGTTTGATAAACAAGAATTTTGTCGTAATGGTTGTCGAACAGAGGCTCAATAACTCCACTCGACAAATGTGAAAGTAGTCAATGGGTTTTTTTATAATCTACATAGATATCGTGCATTAATTTTTAATAAATTAAAATTTTGATTTAGATATCACATAATTAGGCCAAATGAGAATTAAGCGCCTCAAAATAATTGTACAATCCTTAATTCCTTTAAATCTTCCAGTAATATAATCAGGAATGAAATCACACAGGGTCATGTTGGACCACTTATATTATATATTTTTTTCATTTATTTAACTTTTTTTCTAAAATTTAAAGTTTCTTTCTTTCCCTCATATACAGTGTGTTGTGCACAAATTTCCCCCTGAATCATCAACTAAATTTTCATTTCTCCCCGACTTCTATATAAAGGACTCTTTGTCAGTTCCACCAAAATCTAACATTTTCGCTTCATAATTGCCTATACCGACCATAACTTTTCGCCCACGGAATTAGCTATCTTCTATCTATCAACTCTTGAAATCATAATTTTATCACTTAGGGTACTTTTGGAAATAAAATAAAATTTCCATTTTAGCCTTCAAAAAGGATTTAAAAAGTAGAAGGTTAATTTAGTAATTTCAATGCATATGAATGGGTTATGGCATGCCATCAAGGGAGTTACAAGAAACATAATGTAATGGCACGTGGGACCCACACGTGTTCTCCTCTTGTGATTTGTAGCTTTAGTGTACTCCGGAGGACACTGCCGTATGCACCTTCCGTATACGGTCACTCCCCATTTAAAATTCTTTTTTTTTTTCTTTTTAAAAAGTATTATCTAAAATTTTAAATCACTATTCCAAAGAAAAAGTAAATCTTGTCGTGAGCTTTTGAGCAAATAATTTTGAACTTATCTGCCCATTGACTATTATACTTTTCTTGTTTGGGTAAAAGTGCGTTTGATTGACTTGAAAAATATATTTTAAAAAAGAAAATATTTTCTTTAAAAATAAGGAAAATTAATCATATTTTTAAAAATTGGAAAATATTTTTTATAGGAAAAATAACAATCCAACACTTCAAAGTAGGAATTGAAGTGAAAAACCGATATTTCTCATGAAAAATAAATGCAATCAAACACACTCTAAATGTTTTTTTTTCTATATTTTTTTTTTGAAATATCGGCATATTACAATTAGTTGGAATGTCTAATTTATATAAATTTGAAAAGAAATTATTTTCGTTCCACCAAGATTCTTGTTTAGGCGGTGTTTGGTGGGGATTAAAATTAGATTTTTAGTAAATTGTGATAGAAATTTTTGAAATGCGTGGTTGAAAAACTGTGGAACTCATAACAGATGTGGCTAATATTGATTGTTTGGTTTTGATTTAGATTAAAATCCGATTTTAATTCGAAACAAAATGAGCCTTAGTATGTATCTTCTTGATGTCTAATCATATAGCGTGGTTTTGTGGATTTACGTTCTGTACATATCTATTCGACGACATTGATTTGGTTCTGTAAATTTACAAAATTTATCTTACGGGTAGATATAGAAAGAAAATGGAAAATCCAACAAATTAGGGTTCGTTCGTGTTTAAAAAATCTCGTTGGTCATATAATTTTTTCTTAAAGTATTACAATTTTGATAATACTAATTTTATGCACCGAAAATAATATAATTTTTCTATTCAAAAAAATAAAAAATAATATAGTTTAATCCCAAACAATCAATCAAACAAGGCAAAAAAAGAATTGTAGCCTCAAAGATTTGTACTTGAAACGCGTAATAGTGTGGGGCATGCATTTGATGGTACAATATTTAATTCGGCCCGTACATGACCGTAAAACCGGTAGCTTTTTTTAATAATTATCATTGATCAATAATTAATACACGGTAATTTGTTTGTACATTAAAGTACAAACTTCAATTACACTATTATTTAATCAAGTTTTGGCGTACAAGAGACTCTTGTAGAGTACCAATACTATTATATCGAATCTCTATATCAAGATGGGTAGAGAATAATACATAATGTATCTCGAAATTCTTTACAATCCGAGTAGAGATGTTATTTAAAAGAAATCAAGTAATTTCAGTTCTATATTGTTTAGTTATTTCGAGATTTGAGTATTCATTATGTGGATCCAGCGTTGTATGATGAAATTTTGGTTTAAAACAGAGTCAATATTGTGTGAAAATATATTTATGCGTAGAAGTACGTAAAAGAGATTAAGCAATTTTTTAGCTTCTATATTGTTTAATTATTTCGAGATTTGTGTATTGATTTAAATAACTCTTTTAAGATTGGTGCTCGTACGGTGGTGTCTCCTAATGCAGTTGAAGAGTTCAGCATTGATAGAATGTGTCATCCTCGTTCGTTTTAGGGAAATGGGTTGATGAATCATCGTTTAAGGAAAGTTGAGATGATGTGGTACTTAGTTCGAAAGGAAATTGTTGGACATATTATTTTTAATTGGCTTAATTGATATAGATTTATAAATGTTAAGTTTATGTGTCAAAAATGTGAATGATAGAATTTTGACCAAGAAGACAGTCAGTTAGAACTGGATGGTATGGTTTTCGACAGATTTCTGTTGCTGCGGATTTTAGGGTTTCAACGCTTAAACACATGATGCAATATTTAGTTTCCTTATTGTAGCTTATACAGATTTATCTTCTTACTATCCTAAATATTATTTGATGGTTAAATAATTAAATAGAGATGACAATTTTCCCCGTCCCCGTGGGGCCCCGCCCCGAATGGGACAAAAAAACTTGCCCTGAACGGGTTGGCAGGGCAGGGTGGGGAGAGGTTAGCCGCCTCATCGCGGGTCGCGGGGCGGGGAGGGGTGAGGGTGCCCCGCCCCAAACCCGCCCCATTGCCATCACTATAATTAAAGTTAAAGAAATATTGATTTAACATAATTAAACTTTCTTTAAGTTAATATTTTACCATATCAAATATATCTTATTTGATTCTACAATATTTTTATTGTGTTTAAGGTAAGACAAATTCGTGTCTTGAAGGTTACTTTACATAAGTAAAGCAAAACATCAATGGAAGGACCAATGCTTTTGAGAGATATTATTCCTATCGTGAACTAGCAACCTTGAGTTCGACCAAAATCCAGCGAGTTCAACCAGTAATATGCTTTACTTGAATAATCTCACTGCAAATTGTGTTTTTCAATCATACTGGAAGAAAATACATCAAAGCGTGACTGTTTGGTCATATTCAAATATAGGCTAGTTGGCGTGAAT